TTTTGCGTAGTAGATGCAAAACCTTTAGTTAAACGAAATCAAACATGGAGTTATCCAGACGTACAGTCTACAAAATGTCGTGTTCTACACACTGAAAATCTCCCTCGGCCCATGTACGTTTCAAAAGTAATTCACATGCCCTCAGAAACAATGATGTTACCAAATTCACAGAAATCGAGACAGTCTACCAGTGGTAGTGAATGGCAGGGTGAAACATCTACGCCGAAGTTATTTTCTCAAAATGAACTCAGTGATTTAATACGTGATCTCAATTTATCAAAGCAAGGATCAGAACTGTTAGCCGCAAGATTGAAAGAAAAAATTTATTGCCTCCAACAGTAACAATTACAACATACAGAACGCGAAATGAAGGACATTGATGATGATATCGCGAAGCTGCCTCTAGACATGGGTTTAAAAGAATACAAACCTACTGAGTGGAGCCCTTTTATTGACAGTTGTAAAAGAAGTTTTAAACGCGTCTTACTTCACAATGGAAATAAATTTGCATCGATTCCAATTGCCCATTTAACAAAACTCAAAGAAGAATATGAAAATGTAAAATTAGTTTTAGGCATCAATGGCCGATCTGTGTGGATTTGAAAATGGTTAATTTTTTTCTTGGTCAACAAAGTGGATACACGACCTACCCTTGTATTTGTATGTGGGACAATGAGCAAAGCAACTTCATTGGGAACAAAATGTTTGGCCTGTAAGAAATTCTTTAACTGTCGGTAGCCGATGTAATAATAAAGCCGTTGGTGAGCAGAGACAAAATCATACTTCTACCATTACATATTAAGTTAGGAGTGATAAAGCAATTTGTAAAAGCGTTGGACAAGGAAGGAGATTGTTTTAATTACATTTGTAGAAAATTTCCGAAGCTTAGTATGGAATAGTTGAAAGGTGGAATGGTTCTCAAATACGCAATTGATGAAAGACACAGATTTTATTAAAGTTATGACTGTTCCGGAAACTAAAGCTTGGAAATGTTTTGTGTTGGTAGTCGAAAATTACCTAGGTAACCATAAAGCACCAAATTATGAAGAAATTGTACAAAATATGCTGACAAACTTTCAGGCCTGGCCCCTCGCACACCAACGCTACGCGACCGCGACGATACCGCGACTCTATTTTATTAGAAGCGACCACGCGGCAACCGATCACTTAGGAGCTCGCACACCAACGCTACGCGACTTCAACGATACTGTAATAAAATGACTCGAAATCGATACAAATAATTAGTAATGTAATCAGAAACTTCTAGAAACTTGACGCTGAAATTGTAGTGTTTTTCGGTAGAATCAGAATAATCATGATCAACGTCATATTCTTCTAGTTCTTCCGAAGTGTCAGTATCGTACAGAAAATTCTTCAAAAGTACCTGACAAATAATTGTCAGAACTATAATATAGATGCTCCACATTAAGTATTGCTAAGCCACTTGTAATTGCCATTTCCACGTCGGTATTGGTGATCAACAATACTAGTACTAGTATTATTATTTGTGCATATGTCTCTCTTTGGAGTTTCGGATTTTAGTTTCAGGTTATGGGCAATATAAACTATTTTAGCTGCTCTTTGGTTTAATAATGTATTTTGCTTAGACATATGCGATTTCCCATAAGTGCTTAACTTATTATGCGTAACTTCTTTTGTATGCCGCTGTTGTGGCAGTCTACTATGCAGTGGTTGAGATCTCTAATGAAGTTTCCAACAAAAACTACTTAGCAAACAACCCGTCCTTTGCCTGAAAATTTGCAAGATCAGTTAACACCAGCTTTTCATTCACATCAGCTCTAGCTGTAGTTTACTTTGTCGTGCGTTTTAGTTCTGAGTTCTGTGGAGTTCGTATGCTACTAATAGTACTACACTTGTCCTTTTTTGTCCTTTATATTACTGTGTACTCAATCTTTTCTCTTCCTGATCTCTTTATTGCTTTTCTTTTATTTAATAGTTTACGTATATCGCATGGTAAATTTGACCTCTGTTTTTCTTTTTTTGTATCTTTTTGAATATCCTCTGTAACCTTTGTTATTGCCTTAGTTATTATATGTTTTTGGTTTTCTATGTTAGGGTTAGCTTGAATTTCCTCCAAACTTAATTCTCATTTTATTCGGTCTTCAAAGTTTTCTCTTTTTAATTCATTAGTAGATTATCATTTCATGTAACTTATCATTTTCTCTACGCACGGTATCTGTCGTTTCGTGTTTATCTGTACTGTCATCTTTATCGCTCTGTGATCACTACCGATATCTATTTTCTGTTCAATTTCTACGTTTTGTATGATTTCTCTCTTGTCTACTATGAAAAAATCAATTTCGTCCCTTGTTTGTCCATCCGGGCTAATCCACGTCCATTTCTTATCATTAGCTTTATTATAAAATGTATTCATTATACAGGGTGTCTCACGTAACTGGTTCGTTAGAACTTTTTTTAATTAATTAATTAACTTTTTAATTTTGGTAGCATGGGTTGTTCATTCGGAACTTTCGATCTAAAATATTTTCAAGATGGCCGCCACTTTTGGTCTACCGGAAGTAGACCATAACTTCGCTATTTTAAATGGAATGCTATAGTTTTTATTACACCGTTTAATTGTAGGTAAAAAAATAGGTTGACTTTGATAAAAGTTATTGGTACCTAGCGTTTTTCGTTTTCGAGTTATTTTGGTTTTAAGCTTTTTTTGGTAAATTTCAACATGCTGTTTAAAACTTCATATCTCAGCCAACGTTCATTCAAAAAAGATCTACGTTGGCACGATTACTCTTCAGATGTTGCCAAATAGATTGTCATTTGTTGTATCGGAGTATCTTATACAGGCTGGTCAAAAATGGAATTACTGTTTCTCCATATTCAATGGCGAGAAAGTCGAAAATTTTAAATGGAACGCCCCATATTTTTTTAGCCTATCAGGAAGAGAATTTAATTCTCTACAAATTATCTATAAACATTCTCATACCTATTTATTGTAGTTTGCCTCATATTGCGAAATTTATTAAAACATGCACGAAATCCAGGTTTTTTTATTAGAAAACTATGGATTTTTGACAGTTTTTGGTCCATGTTTGTATTATTGTTGTCATTAGTTACATTTGACGACGGGTGTAAGTCATTGAACATCATGATAAATTATTTCAACGCCGATATTTGAAATTTATTTTGTATTGATGGCGAATGTAATAAACTTTTGGACAAGACGTGTCGAACAAGGAAAAATTTAAAAAAATTGATAAAGAATTTCTTAGTTCTGGATATATCGAGACCAAAAGAAATCGCATATTTCCGGTCACCAGTGATGAAGACAACGAAATAAATATTTTACCGTGTTTTATTGCATTTCCAAATTCAATTTTATAACAAATTTATATTATAAATTTATATTTTTATTGAAATCTAATTTTTATCATTAAGTTTTTGTTTTAATAGTTTAATTTATTATTTGATCTTCTGTTTGCTATTTTTGGTAAGTAAAAGCTAGTAAACTAAAAGATTATCAATCGTAGTTAATAGTACAAATAATAATAGAAATAAATTAAACAAAAAACTGTCAAAATGTCATGGCCTTCTAATAAAAATACAAACGGTTTCCTGCATGTTTTGATAAATTTAAGAATATGAGAGAAACTACAATAAATAGGCATAGGAATATTTATAGATAAATTGTAGAGAATTAAATTCCCTTTCGTGTAGGCTAATAAAAAATGGAGTGTTCCATTCAAAATTTTCGACTTTCTCCCCATTGAATATGGAGAAACGGTAATTCAATTTTTGACCATCCTGTATAAGATATTCTGATACAATATATGACAATCTATTTGATAGCATCTGAAGAGTAATCGTGCCAATTTAGAGCTTTTTTGAACGAACGTTGGCTGGGATATAGGGTTTTAAAGAGCATGGTGAAATTTGCCAAAAAAATCTTAAAATCAAAATAACTCTAAAACGGAAAACGCTAGGTACCAATAACTTTTATGAAAGTCAACCTTTGATTATATATAATATGGATTGAGCTAACTGAATATATCTACTAACAAAAATGTGGCTCAAGTTGAATAGACGCAGATGGAAAGCGATAATGTGAAAGTGTAACAAAGATAGACATAAAACGGTACTAAACAGACGGGCGCATGCGCACAAAAGTGTCAAACCTCTTCCATTTGACGTTTATCGTTTTGTTGTGTCACAGCCAGTCACACCGTTATGTTTAAAAATGTATTGNGGCCCCTACGGCAAATCTGAGGGTGAGGGTAGACAGGGAACATACTAGAGGGTCTATTCGAATTATCCAGGGTAGTCGCAGATTGCTACAACTTCTGTAGTTTCAGAAAACGATTTTTCAATTGATATGTTCAATACTTGTCTGGTCAACTGTAATTTTATGAATCTGAATCTGGTACAGATTCGAATATGAATCTAACTTCAGCCACATCCATTACCATGCTTTTAGTTTGGTGTTCTTCTTCTTCTTCTTCCTCCTCTGACCTGTGTCTTTTCTTATGAAGTATCTTTTGGATGTCCTCTTGTATTTCTCTTCCATTAACAATAAGTTTATCATATTTTATGAATGCTCTTTCTCCATTTTCTCTAAGTTTTTTCATTGCTGGGACTAGGTTCTTCTGTTTTAGTTGTATATCTTTCAGGAGATCTTCTGTTATGATAATACCACTTCCCAATAGCATTAATAATGTTAAGTCAACTTATGAAATTTAATATCATCTTTAAGTATCACAACACACTGATGAAGTGTTCTACAATCGATGGAGAACAGAAAACTAAATTTGAAGGGAAATTGAATAAAACAGCCTTAGTGTCTTTTCTTTAATAACTTTCTTTTTCAATTTTACGAGTTGTGTAGTCAATGGACTACAAAATCTCTGAAAGAAATCTGTTTGTACGAAAACCAAGTTTTTTTTTTAAATTTCATTTGACACATTACTTTTCAATCACCTATATTTATTTCTAATCGTTAAAGAAATGTTTTTAACTTTTACTTATAGACTTCCACGGAATGAAAGGTATGGGAACAGTTCTAAGAAATACGGGTGCATTTTTTATGCGAAGATCATACAATAGCGATAGTATTTATTGGGATTCATTTCGAGAATACGTTCATCAACTAGTTACAAAAGGTGACAAAGGAATTGAATTTTTCGTCGAAGGAACTCGAAGTAGAACCGGCAAAAGTTTATATCCAAAATTTGGATTATTAACGATGATTCTTCGTGCGTATTTTAATAGTGAAGTGCCAGATATTTTGTTTGTACCAATTAATATAAGTTACGATAGAATCATGGAAGAGAAATTGTTTGGATTTGAGTTATTAGGGGTTCCAAAACCGAAAGAAAGTACCTCGGTAAGTTTCATTAGAATAATAAAAAACTTTTTAACTAATTTTTTTGCCTTAGGGATTTTTTAAATCGTTGAGCATTATTAATGAAAACTTTGGTAAAGTTTTTATAAATTTTGGTGATGCGATATCAGCTCATGATTTTTTTAATGGAAAAATCGATCGATCTTGTCACAATTTAGACCCAGTTTATCTTCGAAAAATAACAGAAAGTGAAAGGAGAGCGACAAGTCTTTTAGCACAAAAAATTGTCGAATCACAACAAAAACTCTGTACTGTTACAACGTTTAATTTAATATCGGCCGTTTTTGCAAATAATTTAAATTTATGGCAAACATCCATCGATGTAAACACGTTGTTATCGCACGTAAAATGGATGGATTCAATTTTAAGAAATTGTGGCGCCGTGTGCGATTTTGATGGAACGATTGAATGTTTATTAAATTCAATTGAAGTTCATCACAATTTAATTAGATGGAATACAAAGGGAGAATGTTATTTGGTTCATGATGCGATAGATTTGCGAAATGTTGACAAAACTAAAATGAAAGGACATCAATTAAGTGAAAAAACCATGTTGAATGCTGTACCTTTAGTAATGTTACAACTTTATGTTAATCCTATACTTCATTATTTTATTAATCCAGCATTAGTGGTTACAATATTAAGAAGAAATTATTCTAAAAGACATAAAGGTAATTGTTTTATTCTGTAGAGTAGAAGAAAATGGTTAAGAAAAAATTAGATTAGTTGCTAAATTTCTATACTAAGCATAGCGTTTAACGACTATAATGATGGTAATTATAATCAACTAATTTTAACTCGTTTTAACAGCAGGCAGAAAAATTATAGCATAGAGTGAATAAAATAATAAGAATCATTTCAAAGGTACTATTTCTAAAACCTTCTCAGTTGTTTGTCTCTAAGTAATGCGACATCAAAATGTGTGTATGAACGCAATCAAAGTCTCACATTTCATGGTGAAATAAGTTTTGTTATTGTTGTATTTACTATATTCTATAATTTTACAGAGAACTGTTTTGATATAATTAAATATGCTATGCTTTATATGCGACTATTGTAAAATGTACTCATATGAGAAAAACTACATAAGTTCGAAAGTAGTTACTAAGAGAAGGTTTTACAGATGATATTTAACTTTCTTGCATATACGTATCTTTTATGGCATATACAGGTGAGTTTTTTTTCCATGTTTAGTATAGAGATCTTGAAAACTAGCGGAGATAGAGAGACGATTAAATAGGGAAAGAATTGCAGTTTCATGAACTCAATTTAATGAGCTTTTTGTTTTTTTGATAAAATGCATGGTTAAATAGATATCTCGAAAAAACAGTTTTTTTGTTATATCGTTAGAATTTGTAGGGTATTACATGTTTAATAAAACAGGCTAACTGATTTTTTTATTTAAGCAATAATTTTTGAGTTATGACACAAACTTGTAATTTTTCTGATGGAAACCATTGGCCATGACTTTATAAAAAAGGCCTTTTCTCAGCGATTCTAATGATATTATATACCACTTGACATAGATATTTTTATTAATAAATAAATTATAGCCATTTATTCTTTTAATTGGAAAACTGTTCAGATAGTATGCTATGGAAACAATTGATAGATACGTTTGGATATGACAGCTTCAGGCAAACGTATGTTTCGTTTAGTTTCTAATTAACGTTGTTTGAGGTTTTGTAAATTATAATTAATATGAATTTTTCTAATCAATAAAAGCGTGATATCATTGAGTGTTACATTTTATGCTATAAAAATGCAATACAAGCTGCAGAACAGTATTTTGATCGTCGCCAGCCTTCTTTACCTACTTTGAAGAGGCTAATAATTTGGGCGAGTATGATTCTTTCTGTAAACCAACTAAAGATGCAACACAGAAGTAAATATATTAGCACGAATCCATCAAGATGCATCGGTTTCAACACAAGTTGCATCTGAAGGAGCCACGTCACAACGTACTGTCGTAAGAGAACTAAAAAAGCATAGATGTCATTCATGTAAAATGGCAATTTCACAAACACTACCCCCAGATGACTACAATAAGCGTGTAGAATATCGTACGTGGTTTATTAACATGCGTGAAGCTAATCATAGCTTAGACTCAAGTTTTGTGGACAGATGAAACACGATTTACAAATTGCGGCATGTTTAATAGACATAATCAACATTTATGGATGCAGGAAAATCCACACCATGTTCAAGAGAGGAGACCTCAAGTTAAGTTTGGATTTAATGTTTGGTGCAGTGTCATTTGTTCAAGAATTCTTGGTCCGTACATTTTTTATGATACGTTAAATGGAGATCGTTATCTTCACTTTCTACAGAACGAGTTCGATATTATGTTGGATGAATTGCTCCTGCAGACACGTCATTTGCTTAAATGGTTTCAACACGATAGTGCACCACCACTTAATAAGCTAGCGGTACGAAATCATGGAAACTTACGTTTGCAAACATATCTATCAATTGTTTCCATAGCATACTACCTGAACAGTTTGCAAAGTAAAAGAATAAATGGCTATAATTTATTTATTAATAAAAATATCCATGTCAAGTGGTATATCATTCGTTGAGAATGAATCGTTGAGAAAAGGCCTTTTTTATAAAGTCATGGCCAACTATGATTTCCATTAGAAAAATTACAAGTTTATGTCATAGTCATAACTCAAAAATTATTGCTTAAATAAAAAAACAGCTAGACTGCTGGAGTTTTCTAACATTTAAGGTCTGCTTAAGGGATTATCTATTAACACTGCAATTATCTGAATCTAACTTTTGATGTCACCTGCTTCTCTTCTCTTTTCCTTTTTTTTTTTCTTATCTCTTTTTTTTTCCTCCTCTCTATCAACTGTACTAGTTGTGTTTCTTCTTTTCTTTTCCTTTTCTTCTGCTCTTTTTCTTCTTTTTACTTAAATATTGTATTATTTAATAATGCCATATTGATTATTTTTTTTTTTACATACATTGCTGGTTGGGTCTTTTGAAAGACATCGCTCTTGGCGATAAACTGACCTTTTGTCAACATACACTATTAATTAATTCATTTATGTATACATATATATACAGTAATACCCCGTAGTTACGCGATAGGTGGGACTGACAGTAGCCGCGTAAATCGAAAATCGTGTAAGTCGAAATTCGATGAATACATATTATAAAATCAAGGATTAATAAACATTAATTTTGTTAAAAAATGTATGTACAGGGTGGTTCAAATTCGATGTCCGAATGGGCTATCTCGGAAACTGTAAGAGTTAGAAAAAAAGCAGCTAACATGTCTAGATCTCTTTTTTTNATCTTGAAAATATTTTAGATCGAAAGTTCCGACTGAACAATCCATACTAGAAAAATTTCAAAACTGTACGAATACTGGAACTTAAAAAAGTTCTAACGAACCAGTTACGTGAGACACCTGTATAAAATTTATTTCCCTCTACAAATTCCACCAACTTATCTCCACTTTCATTTCTATTCCCAATGCCGAAATTACCAATACATGATTCGTCCTTTTTTGTTTACCAACCTTTGCATTTAAGTCTCCCATGACCATGGTATATTTACATTTATCATAATCAATTGCCGTCTGTAGGTTTTCATAAAACTCGTCTCTTTCTTCCTCATTTGCGGTAGAGGTTGGTGCATATACTTGTATGATTTGTATTCTCCCGGCTTTTTTATATTCGAGGTTTAATATAATCTTCGCAATTCTGTGTGAATATGTTTTAAAGGAGGTAATATTATCTATACATCTTTTATTTATTAAAAATCCGGGTCCACCTGTCTTTCCTAATCCATTATAGTAAAATATTGTTTCCTTTACATTTATACACCGCTCTCCTTTTTTTCTGACCTGACTCAATCCTATTATATGCCAATTTGTGTTTTTTAGTTCTTCTAGCAATTCCTCTAATTTCTCATCTTCTCTCAAAGTTCTACAGTTATAGGTCAGTATTTCAAGTATTTTTTTATTATGATGTCGATTTATCTTTTGCATCTTTTCTCCTTTATTCTGTATATTCTGTGTGTTTAGCCAGGTTGTAGGGTAGTATGTTTCCATCATATATATACTATCTCCTATATCGCTGACTCCCTATCTAAGCAATGAGTGGCGAGCGTTTCCATCAAAAGCAGACGGAATGATATATGTTTTGTCTTTGTCGTTCCCCCATGTCGCGAAGGCGCTTGCGCGAATCGTAAATTTTAAAGAGTTTGAAGTGCTTCGCGCGTATTTTATGCAGCTTTGAAATGCAATTATTGTAGATAATTGACTTTAATTATAAATTATCATAGATGCATCAAACAAATTAGAATATATGTACTTTTGTGTGAAATTGACGTTGAATATTGCTTTAAATATCAACTTTATGTAGGTTGTTCATTTAAAGAATATAATTCTTTAAAATTAAATTAATACATATATACATAGTAATTATTAAAAATGTGTACCAAAATATAGTTATTAATTTTTAACATAATTTGTGAGCATACGCCCTTTAATGAAGTTGTTACATTAATTAAAGATATAAAATATGTACTTAGGGTACTTACNCTCTTGATTTGCTATTTCTCGAGCAGTGATCACTGCTATGCTGTAGTCAGTGTTTTTTTTTAATAATGGTGTAAATTAACAGTTGCATTAAATTAGTTTTAAAAGAAAAACGCTATCTTTCGCGTCGCTGGATGAGCGTATTAGTGCGAATAACGTACCATTATTTTCTTAGCCGCCTAGGTTACCTGACTTAATGCCCGGTTCACATAATTCCAGTAGTATTCCAGTCCAGTGATTAAACCCAAAGCTAGAATTCTACTGGAATAATGTAAACCAGCACTGAAATGCACTCATTCCAGTTCAGTGACTGTATAACATCTCTGAATAACGTATCGCTACGTTGAATATTACAAGAAATTAATGATAACAACTCCTTAAGATTTTCTGCCGTCATTCTCATTGCCAACTTGTATGCAGAGGGATCATCTGACTTCAGCTGTTGAAGAAGAATCGAACCTTAATTTGTATTTCACTTATCCAGTTTCCTCACCACCTTCCTTAGTTCTTCTTCCACTATATCAGTTACTTATTCTAACAGTAGTAACTGATTGGTTTGAAGCAATTTTTGAACTCCTTTCTTGAAATCATTGTTATTACAGTATTACCGATTCAACAGCTTTTGAATGATTGGAATAATTTAAGCAATATGATCTAGTCCAGCACTGGACTGGATTGATTCGCTAGATTACTGGAGTGGAATAATGTCAACCAGGCATAACACCATGTGATTTCATTCTGCGTGGGCACATTAAGAATCTTATTTACGTTCCCCTACTACCAAATACATTAGAAGAACTCACTGAAAGAATTAATCCTGCAGTGATGGCAATTAAGATGAAGTTACAAAATGTATGGAACGAATTAAACTATCGGCTAGATATATGTCGTGCGACTTCCCTCAGCCCCCTGGTCCACATAGAATATTTGTGAGTGTGCAAAAAAACTTGGACATTTTCCGGTTATTTTGATGTTTGATTCATGTTTGTAGGTGTAATAATTTTGATAATATAGCATTTAAAAACGAATAAATCTTTAATAACAACCTGTATAACGTGAAATGAGTACATTTTTCAATAGATGCGATCAAAAATGTCTAATAAGAATTATCACCCTTCTATTTCTTTATTTCTAGACAAACTCCTCGACGAGTTTAACTTTCTCAGATCTGTATTTGCTAGAGAATTTGTCTTGTTTCCTGAGAACTCAACACGGGTGCGTTTGGCTGTGTTGTTTGTTTAGTTTTTTTTTTTTTTCATTTATTTTCATCTGTTTTCTATATTTCCATTTATCTCTTATTATTATTCATGTTGATTTAATAGAACATTTTTAACTGCACCATCGAATATTCTTTCTTTTAAAAATTAATTTTTTATTGTCTAAAATAATTTTATTTCCAGGATTTTATTGAAACTTTGGATCGTTTAAACGAATTAAATTCAATTGACATCGATGGGAACCTCATTAGTTTAACAACAGATAATGATCTTTATCATTTATTTCAACACATTTTAGAACCGTTCCTTTTAACTTATTACATTTTATGTAATGTTTTAACTAACGTTAGTATAAATTGAATAGTTTTATTATATTATTAATAATTAATTTATTAGGCTAATTTACGGAAAGAAACAGAAAGTGATATAATATCAGAAACTCAGAAAGAAATCGAAAAATTATTCAACGATCATATAAATGAATATATTCATCCTTACAGCCTTAGTTTGGACACCATTTCGAATTGTTTACAAAATATGGTTGATTTAAGAATGATACAAAAAATAAAAAGGTAAAAGAAACGAATTTTGATTTATCATAATTATTTTATACGATTTTTATTTTTAGGGACGAAACGTATTTTTACCAAACTACTCTTTATTTAATTGAAAACTTAAGGAATCAAATATGTAAGTACTAAATACAGTAAAACCTCGATATAACGGATTAATACGGGGAAGGGTCGTTATAGTTAAAAGTCCGTTGTATACAAAATTTTTCATTTGGACTAAACTGTTTGAATGAACAATTTTAATATACACAAATTCGGACAGCTATCCACACCACTGCGTTCAATCTACTTGACTTTATACCAAAGACGATAGAATCTCAGAGGACTGCTACATCGCGGGAATAAGTGCACAGTTCAAAGGCCCGTTCGTGACGTCACGAATGGGTGGACAACTACCCTTTCGTCTAAGCCTCTTCTCTTTTAAATGATCCCCTTCTTAAATCATGATAAATCAATCCCAAGCTACTGATACATCCGATAAGGTACACATTTGCTCCCCAACTACCGGAAGCAATTAAGAGTACAACGACTTCCTTTTTTTGAACGACCTTGACTTCGCGAGATAAAGAAATTAAAGCTTGTTTCGTCTAAATAAATTACACAGGTCTGCAAAAATTAATTTCATAAAAACTTTTTAGATTATTTAGGGTGATGCAACAATTTTGAAAGGTGCTGAATCCGAAAATGACAACAGTTTTTCCCCATCACCCAACGTTTTTCCGCATTTCAATAATCTGAAACTAACTGGTATGAATATGACTGTTACTTTTCCTCTTGTGAGTAACACCTGGATTCCCTCGATGAAGTGCCTAGCAGTAGTCACCCATCATACTGACGTTCCAACTACCCTGATATCTCTTCTCCATGACCTTAATATCCTGATGAAAACGTTCACCCTGCTCTTCACTAGTACTACCCAAGTTTTCAGGGAAAAAATCCAAATAAGAATGTAGAAAGTGAACTTTTATGCTCATCAGGCAGCCAAGTTTATCAATTTTTTTGAGATCATCGACAATGCTGATATAATTAGGGTCTTTTTCATTCCCTAAAAATCTAGTGATTACCTTTTTGAAATTTCTCATCAAATATTAGTCGCGTATGTCTAGATTCTCAAAAATTCCTTCTTTTAGTTTTGCATCTGACAAATCTGGAAATTGTGTGCAGAGGAATTGAAAGCAGTCACCAGTGTTAGGTAAAGCTTTGACGAATTGTTTCATGAGTCCTAACTTGATCTGAAGAGGAGAAAGACAAATTTTTCTGGGATCAATTAAAGCTTCGTGGAAAACGTTCTTTTCACCTGGCCCCAATGTTTGTTGGGTTGGCCATACTTTTTTAGTCCAGTGTTTATTCCTTGCTCTGCTATTCCATTCATAAATGAAACATGAGAACCTCGGGTTACGAGTGCTTCAGGTTACGAGTTTTTCGGGTTACAAACTGAAACTCATGTCTCAGTTTACGAGCAAAATTTCGGAGCAAAAAGTTATATAATAAGACAACATCTACAATATGCACCATTCTCAAGAGTAAAGAGAAAATAAAAAGCTTAGAGGTCTCACAAATAACGTGTCGACGAGACAGCGACCACGTGTGATAGAAGAACTTGAAAAATTGCTGCTGGTGTGGATAAACGAAAAGCAGCTACCAGAATTTAAAGCAAGCCGAAGATGGTTTGAGAAGTTTAAGAGGTGAACGGGCATACATAGCCTCATTCGTCACGGAGAAGCAGCCAGTGCCAACGAAAAAGCAGCAGAAGAATTTATAAAGAAATTCAAACCGCTTATCGATTCGGGCCAGTACATCCAGTAGGTCTTTAATTGCGACGAAACAGGTCTCTTCTGGAAAAAAAATGCCGAAGAGGACCTATATAACACAAGAGGTGGCCAAGTTACCAGGCCACAAACCAATGAAAGACCGTCTAACTCTTCTCTTTTGTACAAATGCGAGTGGCGACATGAAGATAAAGCCTCTCCTTGTTTACTCATCGGAGAACTTGCGATCATTCAAGAGATGTAATGTGCAAAAGAGCAAGCTGTCTGTTATGTGGAGGTCAAACAGCAGGGCATGGATCAACGAAGAGCTGTTTACTCAATGGTTAAACTGTTTTACTGGTCCTGACTCCATACTTTCGGCGAAAGCGTTCGTCGAGATCTCTCGGCGAGACTGTGCGAGTGTGTAGGGGTTATTTTTTCATCGAGACGAGACTCGGCGAGAGCCCTTTGACTCGTGCAAAAAAACCGACTCCGGATGCAGCACAGCCGAGGCGAGATAAGGAGGGTCGAGGCGAGACGAGCGTCCATCCACACTCTCGGTCTCGGGTTTTGTCGCGAGAGTGTGGATCTAGCATGAGATAAAAAAATACCTCCTAGACAATAATCTTCTAAAAGCCTTGCTACTTATGGATAATGCTCCTGCTCACACCAATAGGGTACAGGATAACATTTTGGAGAAATTTAGTTTTATAAAAATTATATTCCTTCTACCCAAAACAACTCCCATCCTGCAGCCGATGGATCAACAAGTTATCCCTAACTTCAAGAAATTGTCAATTGTCTGATAGCAAAAATGCAAGAGTTGCAAAGTTTTCTTATAAAAGTTTGTTTATAATATGCTTCATTTCCCAATTATTACCATTAACAACTAGTAAAATAACGAAATTCCTCATAATTTCGTATTTTTCCAGATATCTGTAATTTATTAGCTATTTTGTGAAGACTGAAAACTTGGAGCTATCTAAAGAAAATGAAAACACAATTTGCTAAAGGGCTTTTCTAACTCTGCTTCGACGTCACCGAGGTTACACATCTTACCCTACAAAAGTTCTGGAAAAATCACTTCGACATTGTACGTTGCTTAAAACTCATCGACACAGCCTGCCATGCTGCGTGGTCACAAAAAGAACTCTGCGTGGAGAAACTTGTGGCCTGAGGTGGTCTGCCTGTCGAAGAAATCGTGTCACTAGGCAAATCTCTAGGCCTTGAGATAGACGAAACTGACATCGAAGAACTCATTGCAGAACATAGCAAGGACCTCAGCGTCCATGAGTTGAAGCAATTACATGAACAACACCATCAGCTAAACGAGGGTTTGTCGGGAGCAGAGGAAGATAAGAGGGAGAAAAAGAAACTATCAACAGCAGAGATTGAAGCTCATAGTTCAATGTGGTTATGTGATTTATTTAACCTTTCGGCAGGCGCGCCTATTTTTATTACACGAGCAGGCGCGTAGTGTACAATGTATACATAGTAAAATTTCTTCTTTTGGGGGAAATTTACATGTTATTTCACAAAAAAAAACAATACAGAGAATACACGACACTTTATTGTTATATTTTATGTGTTTACAATAACATAATGAACAACTAATAAATCAATTATGAGTCAGAGTCTGAATGCATTTCACAAGTCGAGCAAGTTATCATAGTTTTTGAGTGTTTTTTACATATGAATTGCTTACATGTACAACATTTTTGTGTAGTATTTGTATTTGTACACAATTTACACCTCCCTCGTTTTTTAGATTGAGTTGGTTGTGTTTCCGACGTCCCGCACTCAGCGCCCATGTAGGATATTTGCAAAAACGCTCGAATATCCTTTGGCAGCGAAATTATTTGAGCTCTCATAATTAGTTGCTCTTTCATTAAAGCAATTACTTAAGAAAATTCTTCGACGACACTGATTTCCCGTAGAATGTTTTGTAAAATACAATATTTGCGAGTTTATTCCCGCTATATTTAGCAGCGTAAAAAACAGGGCTAATGGCCATCGTCTAGTGACCCTCGAAATAGAGTAGGCAGCGCACATCTTATCAACCGTATCTACTGCTCCTTTTGTTTGATTATAACTTAAAATTATTTCGGGTTTATGAGATTCTTCGTCAACTTCCGGTAAGTTGTGCATCGTTGATAATAATATAACGGCTTTGTTTTTTCTTGGGACATAAGAGACTAATGCAGTATCTTGTTGGAAGCCAAATAAAGATGATTGAGGTTGACGATTTTTATTTGGCAAAAACTCCGGAGGAATTTCACGTTTGTTTTTACGTAATGTTCCGATGAATGTAATTTTTTTTTTGTTTGCTTGGTATATATTGCACAAAACTACATCTACCTCTAAACGAGTACAACATTTCGTCAATGGTTAACGTTATAACTGTTTTTACAATTATTGACAAAGGAATTAAGGATTGATCTGATTGGAGCCAACTTATCCGTTTTCTTCCTTTCATTCCTTGTTGATTTATCATCAAAACGAAGACTTCTCAACAGAAATAAAAATCGTTTGGAACCCATTACTGCTCAGAGAATTTGAATGCCGGTGCCATCACTATTCCACAGATCCATCACGTTTACATGAGATCCTTTCTTCGTACCAATCAAGAAAAGAGTTCCAAATAAAGCTAATATTTCGCAAATTGTTGTATTTTGGCAGTCTCGTTTCCTCGAATATGAAATCGTATTACGTTTGGATTCGATGTATTTATTTGTATATCGGACAATATCGTTGATTATGTTTGGAGTAATAATTGCTTGAAATGCACTTATTTCGTCGGTAATGTTCCGTGTTTTTGTTGTAAGTCCAGGTAGAACTTTTACGATATTTTTACCCCTAATTTTCGAAGGTCGCTTATTAGGATTTTTATACCATTTCAATGATTCGTCATCTTGTTGGTTTACCTCAGACTTGCTCGACGAACTTGTCTTTTTTATTACTTTCGGTTTTCCTCTTCCTAGAAAAAAGTCACCACTACTTGTGTGTGCTTCCTCTGTTTCATTGGCGCTCTGCTCTGAGTCACTATCATGTTCACTTTGCACAATTTCTTCTTCTTCATCGGATATATCGCTATCGTCGATACTTTCCTTAGGTTCCTCTTCCAAAAAATCTAACAAGCCATCTCTCAAATTATCATTTCCTGACATTCTGAATAAAAATAAAGAGATCATTCAGGTAAAAATGAACTAAATAAATCCTAAGTTTTCAGCGTTAATTTCGTGTTTTAAAAATAAAGATTTCAAAATATTAACCTACCTTAATTAATTAACAATAACATGAACAGGCGCGTACGTGTATTTTGTACACAAACTCACTTAATCTTACTAATTTATTTTTTTTTGTAATTCCT